TTAACCATCTCCATTGCTATAGGACGCACATTAACCATCTCCATTGCCATAGGACTCACATTAACCATCTCCATTGCTATAGGACTCACATTAACCATCTCCATTGCCATAGGACGCACATTAACCATCTCCATTGCCATAGGACTCATTAACCATCTCCATTGCCATAGGACACACATTAACCATCTCCATTGCCATAGGACTCACATTAACCATCTCCATTGCTATAGGACGCACATTAACCATCTCCATTGCCATAGGACTCACATTAACCATCTCATTGCCATAGGACGCACATTAACCATCTCCATTGCCATAGGACGCACATTAACCATCTCCATTGCTATAGGACTCACATTAACCATCTCCATTGCCATAGACGCACATTAACCATCTCCATTGTCATAGGACTCACATTAACCATCTCCATTGCTATAGGACTCACATTAACCATCTCCATTGCTATAGGACTCACATTAACCATCTCCATTGCTATAGGCGCACATTAACCATCTCCATTGCCATAGGACTCACAACAAACCATCTCCATTGCCATAAGGACGCACATTAACCATCTCCATTGCCATAGGACGCTCATTAACCATCTCCCATTGCTATAGGACGCACATTAACCATCTCCATTGCTATAGGACTCACATTAACCATCTCCATTGCCATAGGACGCACATTAACCATCTCCATTGCCATAGGACGCACATTAACCATCTCCATTGCCATAGGACGCACATTAACCATCTCCATTGCCATAGGACGCACATTAACCATCTCCATTGCTATAGGACTCACATTAACCATCTCCATTGCTATAGGACTCACATTAACCATCTCCATTGCCATAGGACTCACATTAACCATCTCCATTGCCATAGGACTCACATTAACCATCTCCATTGCTATAGGACTCACATTAACCATCTCCATTGCCATAGGACTCACATTAACCATCTCCATTGCCATAGGACTCACATTAACCATCTCCATTGCCATAGGACGCACATTAACCATCTCCATTGCCATAGGACTCATTAACCATCTCCATTGCCATAGGACGCACATTAACCATCTCCATTGCCATAGGACTCACATTAACCATCTCCATTGCCATAGGACGCTCATTAACCATCTCCATTGCCATAGGACGCACATTAACCATCTCCATTGCCATAGGACGCACATTAACCATCTCCATTGCCATAGAACGCTCATTAACCATCTCCATTGCCATAGGACGCTCATTAACCATCTCCATTGCCATAGGACGCACATTAACCATCTCCATTGCCATAGGACGCACATAACCATCTCCATTGCATAGGACTCACATTAACCATCTCCATTGCCATAGGACTCACATTAACCATCTCCATTGCCATAGACGCACATTAACCATCTCCATTGCTATAGGACGCACATTAACCATCTCCATTGCCATAGGACACACATTAACCATCTCCATTGCCATAGGACGCGTCATAACCATCTCCATTGCCATAGGACACCATTAACCATCTCCATTGCCATAGACTCACATTAACCATCTCCATTGCTATAGACGCACATTAACCATCTCCATTGCCATAGGACTCACATTAACCATCTCCATTGCCATAGGACTCTTAACCATCTCCATTGCCATAGGACGCACATTACCATCTCCATTGCCATAGGACGCTCATTAACATCTCCATTGCCATAGCACATAACTTAACCATCTCCATTGCCATAGACTCACATTAACCATCTCCATTGCCATAGGACGCACATTAACCATCTCCATTGCCATAGGACTCACATAACCATCTCAATTGCCATGGACGCCACATAACCATCTCCATTGCCATAGACGCACACTTAACCATCTCCATTGCTTATGGGTCACATTAACCAATCTCCATTGCTATAGGCGCACATTAACCATCTCCATTGCTATGGACTCACATTAACCATCCATTACTATAGGACTCACATTACCATCTCCATTGCATTTAGCGACGCTCATTAACCATCTCCATTGCCATAGGGACTCACATTAAACCATCTCCATTACTATAGATCACATTAACCATCTCCATTGCCTATAGGACTCACATTAACCATCTCCATTGCTATAGGAGCACTAACCATCTCCATTGCCTAGGATCACATTAACCATCTCCATTGCCATAGGACTCATATTCAACCATCTCCATTGCCATGGACTCATATCAACCATCTCCATTGCCATAGGACTCATATCAACCATCTCCATTGCCATGGGACTCAATTAACCATCTCCATTGCCATGGACTCATATCAACCATCTCCATTGCCATGGACTCATATCAACCATCTCCATTGCCATGGACTCATATCAACCATCTCCATTGCCAGGACTCATATCAACCATCTCCATTGCCATAGGACTCATATCAACCATCTCCATTGCCATGGGACTCATACAACCATCTCCATTGCCATGCGACTCATATCAACCATCTCC